ATCATGAATAGACTTACTAACGAGCAACGCTTGCAAATCATTGAATTTTATTACCAAAATCAGTGTTCGGTAATGTGTTTCGCGCTTTACGTCCGATTTATGGTCTACATAATCGACCAAGTGAGCAAACAATTAATGCGATTGTGACCAAGTTTCGCACTCAGTTTACTTTATTGGACATTAAACCAACCACACGAATGCGTACAGAAAAAAAAAAAAACAAAAAGGCAATCAGCCAGCCCACAGCATATACTTTTATACATATTTAGATATATACTCATATACATATGAGTGCTAGTGTACACTGAAGGACGCCTGAGTGCTAACGCCGACAAAAAAGTACTCTTCGAATTTGAATTCCTAAATTCGATGACCGTTCGCTGTTGGACGCGTTCTGTGCGCCTGGTAAAATAAGTTTCAAATTTTGACAAACAAAACCACGATTTTTGTAATTTACGAGCGCATTTCAAAATGATTGAGCAGGTTTGGGCGCTCAACTCACTGGCGTGGCGAGTCATTTGATTATTCGAACATTTATTTGCTTGGTTTCTTTGTCGGTGTACTGGTGGTGTTGGCTGGTGGTGTTGGCGTATCGAATGCGAGTAAAATGAATATGCGATGGTTGGCTGCTGTTCGCAGTCTAGGCGGGAAGTGGTTTGTGGTGGCGCGCTGGGTGGTGGGTGGCCCCGTCATCCAGGCTATGTGCAACAAAGCCATTGTTTATATTTGCCTTGAGTTAGAATTCGACACTCGTTTGCGGCTACCCAGCTGGAATGTTGGTTATAAAGTAGATGCGTAATTGGGCTTTCAACATAAATTGCATAACTCCTCGTCTGTATGTGAATGTGAGTCTGACCAGTGTTCAAGGCATCGTCCTGTGTCGTTATAAGACATCCCCGGCTTCAAGAACTTTTAGACGAGCTCCCCGTTTCTTCCATCATCACAAGCACAGATGTCTGATTTGGCCTGCTTCACTTTTACCACTACTTATGCCAATGCGGGTTGGAGCAATTTCCAGTGGTGCAGATGTATCCTGCCGTCTTCGCTGATCCCATCTATGACGCATATGATTTTCCGATCTTCTGCTAACACAGCAAGCGAGAGTACCGTTCCTGGTTCTTCATCTACCACTATTTGTGTTAGCAGTCTGCGCTTTAGATAGATACGTATATTTAATGGACTTGCGAATTTGGACTTATTTTGACTTTAGAACTCATCCTAACACCTCGTCTGGCCTCAATGACCTAATGATACTCAACGGTTTTAGCGGCGGTACAGCGTGAATTTGCATAACCTCTGCCCGCTGTAATTCGGCCTTGCGTTTGTTATCTTTAAGCAATCATGTTCCATTCTAAAAGTTGAGGCAATGGAGTTTCTGCATATATCTCTACGATTTGATGTCGAAATCCAAATTTTTTAACTTCGCCGTAATGTGTCGTCACTAGACACGAATAAAGGCTCGAGCTCAAAAGCTGACCGCGAAAAAAGAGCATAAAAAAACTTCAGCGAAGAAAGACGCGTCATCTCATTATCGCGGTCAACTATGTTTCGCCAAACAGTTTTTCTTGACCAGGTATAAATCTATATTCACGCGTCTTTCTTGACCGAAGTTTTACTTAAGCGCCTTTCGTCAGATTTGTTTACGCGTCTTTCTTCGCCGTCAAAATATTAGCGCGCCTTTATTCGTGTCCGGTGATGGTATGTATGCTTGCAATTTCACAAATTCCTCCCGTACAGCAGGTCATCGATCTGGCTCTGTGTACATCCGCAACGAACTCAGCAGGCGACATTCGCTGGGTGATGAGCCAACTACACGAAGGCGCAAGACGTTTGATGTTTTCGTCGCAGGTCTCGTGGTTCCTTTCACTTTTTTGAGAGGAACTAACCATTGGATTTCCCCTTGCAAGGGATATCATCGAATTAATGTTGGAGGATTGTGTTTCACCAGGTGTGGCCTTCTTGACAATATGAGTTTGTGCTGTAGCTCTTGTTGCGGCGAAGTTGTTGCTTATGTTGGTTTTAACCCGTTATCCCTATTGGGCCAGTATTGGGCTACTCATGATATAGCCACATGTGCACATTAGGACGGGTCAATTAGTATGGGGAATTTTCCGGCTATGCGCGTATGGCACAGAAAGATTCTACGTGTAATTCTAAACAATTGCGAAAATAGGTTTCTTAACATTTTGCTTTAATGTCCTAGAGCAGAGCTTAAATTTTGTTATGAGGGATCCATTTCTGCGCTTAAGTTTTTCTTAAAACTTCCACCAGAGGGAGCAACAGTGAAAATTTTCACCCATAGTTTCTTTGGAAAATTTGCTTAGAACTACACGTAGAATTCTCCTATGTTTGACCCGCCCTAATGTGCATACATATATACGTACACAAACGCATTTGTAGTTAGTCATGTGCAATAGGAAAGGAAACGAAACGTGAAGTGTGAAATATGGCATAAAAAGTGGAAAGAGTACACCAAAGTAAATATCCACCGGGTGGGCCCTGCTTCTACGGATTTCGAATGCATGATGGAATAGGAGAAGCGCGATAATGTGATTGCGATTTCATTTTGTGCCGGCGGCAAACAGGATATTGAGCTGAAACACACAAACATTTACATATGTACTTGCCGACTTCAGCATTTAGATTTCAAAATGGAAATGCATAAAAGTAATGAGCAACGGGTAGATACATACATAGAGAGAGAGTGAGCAAGAGGAAGTAGACGCAACGAGTTGCAAAATAAATTGATTGCAAGAGCCACAGAAGAACAACTATGGCATAACTACATAAAGCTGGATTGAAGAACGATGACGATGATGTCAGACGATAAGCAGACAAACAAGCCGAGCAAGCAAATGCGACTTCAGAAGTCGTTAAGCATACAAATTTGTGTTTGTAGCACGCATACATATGTA